TTTGAATCCCTGCCCCCCATGAATGCCTCTGACCAAATATGATTCATATCCATGACATAGTTCTACAGAAGAATTCGTTTTTAACAATATAGCAAAATTGCCCCCTTTTGGCCCCACCCCTCAGCCCCCTGGGGGGTCAGCCCCATCATCTGTACAGTTTTAAATCTCCACCACCTAGGGATGCTTCCAGTCAAATTTAGTTAAATTCCAATCAGCGGTTAAGAAGAAGAAGTCATTTGAAAAAATTGTTGACGTACGGACGACGGATGCCACAGTATGGCATAAGCTCACCTTGGTCAATTGGACTTGGTGAGCTAATGAGCGGATCTTTTCTGCAAAATGATGATATTTTAGTTGCACCAAAATATCTAACTTTACAGTATCAGTCTTTAGAGCCATTGGTTTGTGAGTCTGGCTACCATTGGTGTGTGAGTCTGGCTGCCCATATAACCATTGGTTTGTAAGCCTGGTTGCCATAAAACCATTGATATGTATGTGAGCCTGGTTGCCCCTAAAACCATTGGTTTGTGAGTCTAGTTGCCATAGAGCCATTGGTTTGTGAGTCTAGTTGCCATAGAGCCAATGGTTTACGAGTCTAATTGCCATAGAGCCAATGGTTTGTGAGCCAAGTTGCCATAGAGCCAATGGTTTATGAGTCTAGTTGCCATAGAGCCAATGGTTTGTGAGCCTAGTTGCCATAGAATCATTGGTTTTTGAGTCTAGTTGCCATAGGGCCAATGATTTGTGAACCTAGTTGCCATAGAACCATTGGTTTTTGAGTCTAGTTGCCATAAAGCCATTGGTTTGTGAGTCTAGTTGCCACAGAGCCAATGGTTAATGAGTCTAATTGCCATAGAGCCAATGGTTTGTGAGCCTAGTTGCCATAGAGCCAATGGTTTATGAGTCTAGTTGCCATAGAGCCAATGGTTTATGAGTCTAGTTGCCATAGAGCCAATGGTTTGTGAGCTTAGTTGCCATAGAATCATTGGTTTTTGAGTCTAGTTGCCATAGGACCAATGATTTGTGAACCTAGTTGCCATAGAACCATTGGTTTTTGAGCCAAGTTGCCATAGAGGCAATGGTTTGTGAACCTAGTTGCCATAGAACCATTGGTTTTTGAGCCAAGTTGCCATAGAGCCAATGATTTGTGAACCTAGTTGCCATAGAACCATTGGTTTTTGAGCCAAGTTGCCATAGAGGCAATGGTTTGTGAACCTAGTTGCCATAGAACCATTGGTTTTTGAGCCAAGTTGCCATAGAGCCAATAGTTTGTGAGCCTTGTGCCTCCTGGAATCATTGGTTTGAAAGCATACTAGCCCAAAATAATCGTTGGTGTGTGAGTATAATGGCCCATAGAACTATTGGATTGTTAGCTTTGTGGCCCATGGAACTATTTGTTTCTGAGATGTGATCCAATTGAGAGTCATGGTGTTTCTGCTAAAAGGACAGCAGTGTTTCCCACCATTTCCTCCCAATAAGCTAGTTCATATACTGCACGGTAGACAGATATAATTTATAATGTTTTGTTCACATAAACAACAGTAATGTAATGTTTCATTTGTAGTTCAAACCTCTTACTGGTACAGGTCTCGGGCTTTTATCACGTGTGCTATACTGCTGTGTTTGCAAAACTATCTACAAACATTTCAAACATAGTTTCTGTCAAAGTTTCACTGATTTTGCTAACTTCCCGATGTCTGACAAAGAAAGGAGGTTAATAAGCATTTTATAACACACTGATTGACACCACTTAGACACTTCACCTATAAAAACCCATCAAACCCAATAAGAGGAGACAGGCTGTAATTTCTTCAGTCAGGAGAAAACCACAACTAAAGCTGGTCCATTATAAGGTACACTTACAGTAACCACAGGTCTACTTTATCATGCTCTCCCCTACTGGGATTTATAATCTAATTAACAAGTCTACAAACTTGTCACGATTGTTGTCTATGTGTGCAGTATCTGCGGTCTCCTGTGCACCTACTGTTGTTGAAACTGTTCTGGTTACATAAGTATACACATTACATGATGGCTCATCTCTCCGTGCCTCTACCCTCTCCTTAACATCTTGTTTGTTTACCTAGTCCTCCCACTCTATAGATAATGTACTTCAGTAGGTCAAACATCACAGACATCACACCCTAAAGTTTAGTCTACATTGCACCACAAACTTATGGCCTCAGTCTTTGTGCTCTACAATAGCAGCTGATTTTTTCTCAGTGATAACCAACCCTGTTCATTAAATACAGATGTTTCTTATTGTAATTATGCCACATGTATGATACATTCATCATCACATCTCCCTGTATCTCTATATGATTAATGCAACATAACACTAGACTATCGCTTTCTATACAACAGGAAATAAAACTACAGTTCAGAGAAAAAAGTAGGTCGCTGCCATCAACACAATCTGTACGTTATAGGGCATTGATTCCTTCATCGTCTCCCCAATAACTCTTTGACTATATTCCTACAGTATAATCTGAAATATATGGCCGATTTATACAGAGTACAGTTTATACTGTCAGTGATGTTTGATATCAGTATTTTGAATATCCAAGTATTAACTGAGTTAATATTCTTTGAAATGTTGAACGAATGGAAAAACAGAAAATGTTTGATTATTTACAATTACTTATAAGTAACATCAACAAAACAAAAATTGTGGTGATAGATGAACTAAGAAAAGTCAAAAGGCCAGGAACAGCAAGATTGGTTAAACAACACTGATTTTCTAAAGGTCCAATTTGAACCGGTTCGACCAATTATTTTAAGAAAAGAAATGCAAGGCCAAATATAAAATTTGGCAAAGACAAGGATTCATATAAGACAGGGATTGGCTTAGTTGCTGTTATAGACAGGTGATAACCATGTATATGGTCACTATAGACAGGTGATAACCATGTATATGGTTACTATAGACAGGTGGTCACCGTAGACAGGTGGTAACCATATATATGGTCACTATAAACAGGTGTAATCATAGAGATGGTCACTATATATAAACAGGCAGTAACCAGATATGGTCATTATATACAGGCAGTAACCATAGAGGTGGTCACTATAGACAGGCAGTAACTATAGAGATGGTTGTCTATAGACAGATGGCAGCCAGAGATGGTCACTATAGACAGGTCATTACCATAGAGATGGACACTATAGACAGGCATTAACCATATAGATGGTCACTATAGACAGACAGTAACCATAGAGATGGTCACTATAGACAGGTGGCAGCCAGAGATTGTCACTATAGACAGGTGGTATTTATAGACAGGTAGTCAACAAATAGGGAAATGGTCTCCAAAGCAGAATTTATTATTTATTGTATGCATGTTCATTATTTTGTATGATTTGAAAGTTGAAAAAAATGGTGGTATATCTGCATTTGAACATTGAACTTGAAACATTTTGAAAAGCAAGTCATGCAGCACTGTTGCAGAAATATATCACTCAGCCTGGGTCCATAACACCAGCAATCAACATCATCAAAAGGCCATTACTATCTATATTTTCTAAACAAAACTGTCATGTAGTGGCATTTACTTATCTAAGTAACTAATAACTATGCCTAACTTTCGGTACAGAAATATTTTCTTGAATTATGAAAGAGAATGTGAAGCTAGATGACATGGTTCATGATGCTTTGATTCAACTCATAAATCAAAGACACAATGTGGTAATAACATAAAAACAACAGACCTCTCCCTGATGACCCAATGTTTACAAGACAAATCTACCCAAAACAACAGATGTGTATTAGGGAGTTGTAGGTGTGGAGTCACGAACTGGCTCAGGTACCATTCAGTCTCGGATGACTCCAGCAGTGTAAAACAGCTGATCCAACAAGTACTACTCTGTACCCTAGGTACCACAGGAAGCTCCGTCTTGTTGATGGTAAAATTAATTACCATGCAAGCATTTATTCGGTTCAAAACATGTGAGAACCAGCGTTGTAATTCTTCAACAGTTGTATTCATAAAAGCATTAGGCAGAAAAACGTGTAGAAACAGAGCTGATCGTGATGACAAGATGATGTACGCCCACGATATATCGCCACCACAACCACCTTGTATACCAAACAGGATGCCTACCTTCTCACAGTACACACGGAAGAGTTGAACGTTCTCATTAACCAATCAAACTACACTTCTGTATTATACATCCACTTGGCTAATTAAACAGTTATTTTATTGCCTACAAACCCATTACCAACCCTATACTTCTATGTTGCCTAGTTATTCCCAAGCAGAGCAATACCGGTACTCTCTAGATCTCATCGAGAGGAAATAGGCTCTTTTATATAATGACCTGCATCAATGATGACCTTCACAGGAGGCTATCGAAGTTAAATAAGTGTAAATTCTTCACAACTGGACCAAAAACGAACATATAGAAAAGACTGGTTTTTATATTAACAAACTATCCCTGTCCCATTGCACTAAGGTTTTTAGTACGTAAAGTAACCTCCCCTTAATAGTTCTGGATACAATTGTAGCAGCTTGGCCAGGACGATTCCATTGACTAGCTAGGTAGCTCAGTCATATAAAGGGACAGTGCTTCAGGGTTTAATTTCCAGTTTATCGAAGCTCTAGTCGTGCCGAATAAAATGGTCGCAATGTGTCTAGTTATTGGTAGTGGTACGGGGATCCTTACTGGAGATCTGTTTTGTAAGTCTACAGCAGACATCTGGTTTATACAGGATTGAAAGTCTACAGCAGACATCTGGTTTATATAGGATTGAAATCTACAGGGTTAGGTACTGCCAAGTATCTAAAAGACTTACATAATGGCAGCAACTCACCACGAGAGGAATTCATGGTAACCTCATTTGGCATGAAAAGTGTCCAATCAGGAGTAGTATGTAGTGACAACAGTACTGTTGGGCAAGTCTCCTGCTGAAAGGCTGGGCGACAACTACTCAACCTAAGGTATCAACCATAGCTTCCTTTGGGCATCAACAGGAGAAAGAAACAAACAAAACACTGACTCACCTTTTTTGTTCTGTAACTGTTCTGAAGTCGAGAGAAGACACTTGGCTTTCGTTTCTTTTCTTCTTTCCTTGACTTAGATGGATCCTCCAGGTTTGAAGGACTACACATGAAACCACAAGAATTTATAACTTAGGATAACAATATATTCCAGCCTTACATCAGTTAACACTGTCCAGCAGTCTAGTGTGGTAACAGTGTTCTGTAATCGGTGCATAAACACAAGGGATCAAATAGCATTTAGTTAGGAGAAATATCAGGAAAGTACTACTTTAAGTTTTAAAATATTTGTGTTCAATTTGAAATGTGCAATTCTACAGTATATGATCAGTTTCAGAGATAACTATATCCTGCAAAAAAGTGTCCTCAAGGTCACAATGCCCTTTGCCAGCTAAAATAATTTTAAAAGGGTCTTTAGACAACAAATTTATTTATGCATTATAGAACATCCGAGGCCTTGTGACCTTGACCTGAGGTCTATTATCCTTTAATCAATGATACAGACCACACACATCTGAGGCCAAGTGACCTTGACCTCTGGTCTATTATCCTATAATCAATATGATACACACCACACAAATATGAAGCCCTGTGACGTTGACCTCAGGTATATTATCCTATTATCAATTATACACAACACACAAATCTTTTGGCTTTGTGACCTTGACCTCTGGTCTATAATCCTATAATCAATGATACACACCACACACATCTGAGGTCCTGTGACCTTGACCTCACGTCTATTATCCTATAATCAATGATACGCACCACACACATCTGAGGCCCTGTGACCTTGACCTCTGGTCTATTATCCTATAATCAATGATACACACCACACACATCTGAGGCCCTGTGACCTTGACCTCAGGTATATTATCCTATAATCAATGATACACACCACACACATCTGAGGCCCTGTGACCTTGACCTCACGTCTATAATCCTATAATCAATGATACACACCACAAACATCAACATCAAAGGACTCCAGTTTCTCCTGTTTACCTAGACTGGTAACAGCTTGGGGATAGCTGTCTGATAGAAAGTGGTTTCCTACCTGAATGTGTATGAAATTGTACCAATGACATTGAAGATGCTTGTGGTGTGACTGATTCTGATGGATATGATTATCAAGGCTATGAATATATCTATATTTATATACCGGTATCTATAAGTGCAGGAGAAAACTAGGCTTACATATTCACTACAAGAACTTAGAATTTACTTTAATTATTCAACTATTTGAAATAATATACTGACAATTAGAGTTTCTATACAATTTTTAAAGGTTTGAAATTTCTCTTTTACTATCAGTTCATTATTGAAAATATGTTTTCACTCTCAATATCTAATCGTCAATTTTGATATTTACTACTTGAATATTAAAATTTAAACTTATTGTATAACTACATGTACTCAATTTTATTCAATTGCAAACAAGAAATTAATGTTTGTAGTCATTGTCTGTCTAAATATTAATTTCATAACCACTCTGATTAAATATTAATTTAAAACACCTAGCCCTCAGTTTAATTATTGTCTATTCCAACAGTATTGTGGACTAGTTTTGGTGTTTTTTTTGGCAAAAACTCCATGAAAATCTAACAGATATTTCTTATTTATTTTGTTATGTTGCATTACTCTGACGGGAGGCTCAATAATTTTCATCACAAAGTTTTACACCAGTACAGTAATGAAATCAGTAAAACTCTGTACCAATTGCTTTTTGTCTAGATTCGTTTCATTCATCACAAAGAATGTTTTCCACAATTTAACTTTACACTATTATTTTAATAAGTGTCATTGTAAGTTTTTTTTATAAATATATTAGATTTTGCCATTTGTTTCTCTGACAATAAAGAGTAGCAAGTATGTCCTTATTTCACAAATTAACTGCAAAGATTTTTCTTAAATAAGTTTTCAGCAGATTTTGATGTTTCCTGAGAAAAAGACAAGAGAAATAAAATGAGGTATAACTTATCAAATTCTGAAAAATATCCCTCAACTTATCATCATGGATTATATCTAGGTGTCCACTAGCTGGTCACCTTCTAAACATCGCCAAACTGCCCGACACGTCATGGTGTACATACTAGGTTAGTTGTGGACAACATAAAATACTGTCATACCCTTAATAGACAAAGCAAAACTGGTAGATCTAAATAACAATATACGCTTTGTAGGAATAAATTATTCAAACATTTAATTATTTTACAGGTTTCATGTCAGTAGAGGACTTCAACATTCTCCTCCTTTGAAATATATATAATAAAACTAATATAAAAAATATCTTGCATTCAGATATATAATAAAAGTTTTAACATTTTCTTCTCTATTATAAATAAATAGTGAATATTTATAAAAAGTATTACATTATTAAAAACATCAATAAATAGATTGTATTAAAAAAAGGTCCAAAGAAGACAGGAACAGTAAACGTTTGTGACAACACAATTATTTTGATTCAAGTTTTGTGAACAACAGAGATCTGTTAAATGACAACATAGATCTGTTAAATGACAACAGCTATAGATGTGTAAGTACGGTGGGTATATAGGTATAGATAGGTGACTAGCTTCCCTTGTCCCGTTGTTGTTAAAGGCACGCAGTCAGTGACAAGCCAAAGCAGTACATTATGGTAATACAGATTATTTAGCTACAGTCTGGGTTAAGCACTCTGCAATTATTAAAACCTAGAAAACAATTTTAGAAATAATTAAACAATCTACACAAAGACAATACACATATCAGGTCTCAACTAAACATATTCACCAATATTATGGTAGAAAGCCACAAATGTTATATTACATATATATACACCATAATGCAAACAGAGTTACTCCCCTTGGTTCATTGCTGAGCACACTCTGTGCACAACCATCACCTCATATATTTTGGAAAAGAGACCTTCCCCTATTAAATTCATGTAAACCTGTTTGTGATGAGATAATCAATTTCACAGCTAATATACC